CTCCTGAAAAACTCACCCAAGGAAAGTGGGCTGAGGCAACTTTTGATAGCGAAGCTGCAGTCTTGAGTTTAAGATTCGAACCAACAGACATAGAAAGATACAACGCGTTACAAGATAGGTTTGGATCCAAAGGGTTGAACGTCATCTCGTGCAAAAAACTGCGGTTAAAAATATAAAACGAGCACCTCAGAAAAGTAAAAGGAATTCGATTACGCTCTAAAAATTGCGAACATATAATTTTGAAAGCCTTTATGAAGCATAAACATCTTCTTCTAACATTCCTTTCGTTTTGGAGCCACGACACAGGAGCATAAAAAAGCGACCAGACGGTTTGATGCCCCTTCAATTGGCTATTGGTAACTATTTCTTGTGCAAAAATCATATGACAAAACAATTTTTGAAGAAATTTTTTTTGTTCGTAAGACAAAATATATCGTAAAAATGTGTGTTCTTATTCAAGAAACAAAACCCTTAAGGAGTTTAATTTTAAGCAAATCAACACTAATCATCTTTTTTATCATTATTCTTTCCACATCTAGAAAACTTCAAGGGTTTTGACTAGAATTTGTGATGAGGTGACTCCTGACTTTCATTACTCAAAACGTCATTCTAAAGAAGATATTGGTTTGAAATGATTTCTTCAGATTTTCGAAAAAGCCGGAAGTTCAAGTAAAACACCATCCTACTTGATTATGGAAGCTTCCCATTCAACTTAACTTACGGTTCAAATTTTCCCGATTCTAACAAAATTTTTGAGTACCATCAATCCTCTTGAGCTCGACTCAAGTACAGTAATTTTTCACTCGACTGTTCATTTTTCCGATTATGTTGAGATAGGGTAAACTTTAAGTAATCCATCTAAAATGGATCAAACACACACTATCTTGTGACAATTGACCAGAATGGCCTGAAATGCATGGCAGAAACGAATTTTTATTTGAAGCATTTTGGTGACAGAATTGGCTGTTTCAAAAAATTAACAGTATTAACTAATCAATTGAACGGAGTGAGATCAGATTTGACTGTAGAGTTCAATTTTGACTGACATGTGAGTTTTTAAATTGTGCCATTCGGTCATTTTTGGAAATTTGACCTTGAGAAAACGTTTAGTCTTAATTTTGGGTGAAATGCAATTTTTCAAAAATTCGAAGTGAGCAGGTCAGTGAACGGAGGAAGGTACTCAAAGATATTGGTTTGAAATGATTTCTTCAGATTTTCGAAAAAGCAGGAAGTTTTTCGCATCACAGTTTTTTTTCTTGATTGCAGATTTGGTTAAAGATGTAATCATGATGGGATTTTGTGTTACAAAAAAACGAGTGTCGCTATGATTTGCATATGATCAGAAAAAGGTTTGATGTTGATACTGAGGTTAAAAAAATCAGGATCCTTTTCGAGTCAGTGATCAGTGATTGGATCGGATTTGTTTGTGAGGATGACAAAGAATTGGGCTTTTGTTGTATTGGAAAAATTATTTGCTTTTAGAGTTTCTAGTGTACCATTTCCACAATCATCATTGAAGCTCACATCTCCCAATTAGTTTTCGAAAAAATTATCTTTACAGTTAAAGAAATTCGTCGTATTTTGTGTCATTGATATAGTTTTATGATATAACAACATCTAATGATAAGACCTGTTAGTGGGTTATTTCGGTCCCATAAAATCTAGAAGAAATACTTTTTTTACCCTTACGCTGCGCCAAGATGAAGAAAAGCAATGAAAAATGTGCAAGCAAAGATTGCTTAATACCATCTTGTATGATAAAGTGGATTAGATGTGATGTTGGTTTAGCTGATATCATACCAGCTGTGAAAATTTTTCCCTTAGCGACTCCATGAAAGTCCTATGGTTTCAATATCTTTAATGCGTTGATGTAAAATCTGTTAATATAGCATCAGAAGGTAATGACTTTGTGCTTGATAATTATCGTAATAATGCCATCTCAAATGTCCGACTCAAATAAGTACCAAAGGACTCGGGTATTCCCTTGGTTGAAACTCTATTGGACAAATTGAATCTACAATGTAAGGTATAATACAAATTAACTTATTTTTTTAACGTCTTTCTTGTGTTTTGGAGCAACCGAAAAGAAGTGGACACAAAAAAAACACAAGCAAGATTTCTTGGATGAATAAAAAAATCAAGCAAAAGCCATTTTACTTCAAAACCAACCACCCAAATTTCAAGCCTGCCTCTGAATGATCTAGAGCAGAGAATAAAACTAATAAGTATTGATGAAGGAAAAATAGAGGCTTCAGATGACAAAATTGCTTCGTTTTGAGCTGATAACTCTCAAAAATTGTCGTCTAAGCAACTTCAGCAAACTAATTTTGAAGAATGAAATGCAGAAATTTCAGATAGTTTTTTTTGTAAGCAAATAAGATTTGTGCAAGCGATAAGGTCTTTTTCAAGCAGTTCGTACGGGTACACAGTACAATTCAATATTAACTCAACTTCAAAAAATATGCCCCAAAACAAACAAAAAAACAAAAGAAAAGCTTCTCTTATACCAGGATCAACGATTGGCGAATTTTGTCGAAAATAATTGCTGGACAAAAAAAAATTCAGGATCCTGAAAAAGCTCATAATTCATTGACCAACTAGACGACCAATACGGTTTTTACCTCCTAACAAAATTGTTTTAGCATGCCCAAACTCCTATATTTTCTGCGTACGTGCCCTTGTTTTTCGCAAATTGATTTTTTAGACCGATACGAAAAAAAGTAAGGAACTCGCTAAGCAAGGTCACTAATGTGAAATTGGATGATGAACAGCTTTTAGAAGCTTTTCTCCCAATAGTCAAAGTTGGCTCGGGTGATTCTTCCTCTCGTCTCGCCTCTTTACCCGCTTTCTTAGCCTCTGCAGTAGGAGCAAAAATCAATATGCAATTTTTTTTGTCTTGGAGCATGTCGATGGAAAATATTATGATGCGCTTAAACAGTGTTTTGAAATTGGAAAAATTGAACTACTCCTGAAAAACTCACCCAAGGAAAGTGGGCTGAGGCAACTTTTGATAGCGAAGCTGCAGTCTTGAGTTTAAGATTCGAACCAACAGACATAGAAAGATACAACGCGTTACAAGATAGGTTTGGATCCAAAGGGTTGAACGTCATCTCGTGCAAAAAACTGCGGTTAAAAATATAAAACGAGCACCTCAGAAAAGTAAAAGGAATTCGATTACGCTCTAAAAATTGCGAACATATAATTTTGAAAGCCTTTATGAAGCATAAACATCTTCTTCTAACATTCCTTTCGTTTTGGAGCCACGACACAGGAGCATAAAAAAGCGACCAGACGGTTTGATGCCCCTTCAATTGGCTATTGGTAACTATTTCTTGTGCAAAAATCATATGACAAAACAATTTTTGAAGAAATTTTTTTTGTTCGTAAGACAAAATATATCGTAAAAATGTGTGTTCTTATTCAAGAAACAAAACCCTTAAGGAGTTTAATTTTAAGCAAATCAACACTAATCATCTTTTTTATCATTATTCTTTCCACATCTAGAAAACTTCAAGGGTTTTGACTAGAATTTGTGATGAGGTGACTCCTGACTTTCAATACTCAAAACGTCATTCTAAAGAAGATATTGGTTTGAAATGATTTCTTCAGATTTTCGAAAAAGCAGGAAGTTCAAGTAAAACACCATCCTACTTGATTATGGAAGCTTCCCATTCAACTTAACTTACGGTTCAAATTTTCCCGATTCTAACAAAATTTTTGAGTACCATCAATCCTCTTGAGCTCGACTCAAGTACAGTAATTTTTCACTCGACTGTTCATTTTTCCGATTATGTTGAGATAGGGTAAACTTTAAGTAATCCATCTAAAATGGATCAAACACACACTATCTTGTGACAATTGACCAGAATGGCCTGAAATGCATGGCAGAAACGAATTTTTATTTGAAGCATTTTGGTGACAGAATTGGCTGTTTCAAAAAATTAACAGTATTAACTAATCAATTGAACGGAGTGAGATCAGATTTGACTGTAGAGTTCAATTTTGACTGACATGTGAGTTTTTAAATTGTGCCATTCGGTCATTTTTGGAAGTTTGACCTTGAGAAAACGTTTAGTCTTAATTTTGGGTGAAATGCAATTTTTCAAAAATTCGAAGTGAGCAGGTCAGTGAACGGAGGAAGGTACTCAAAGATATTGGTTTGAAATGATTTCTTCAGATTTTCGAAAAAGCAGGAAGTTCAAGTAAAACACCATCCTACTTGATTATGGAAGCTTCCCATTCAACTTAACTTACGGTTCAAGTTTTCCCGATTCTAACAAAATTTTTGAACACCTTTAATCCTCTTGACCACCACTCAAGTACAGTGAGAGCATTACTGAAAATTATTCAGTCCACAGTTAACAAGACTATTGAATTTTTTTTACTCGACTGTTCTTTTTCCGATTATTTTGAGATAGGTTAAACTTTAAGTTAATCCATCTAAAGTGGATCAAACACACACTATCTTGTGACCTTTGACCAGAATGGCCTGAAATGCATGGCAGGAACGAATTTTTATTTGAAACATTTTGGTGAGAGAATTGGCTGTTTCAAAAAATTAACGGTATTAACTAATCAATTGAACGATTTGAGGTCAGATTTGACTGTAGAGGTCAGTTTTGACTGACATTAGAGATTTTGAAAATTCGTTTGTTTGTAAAGACACGTGACAGTTTTACTTTTCGCGAATACTGAAAAACCGCAAAAATAAGAACAACGATTTTCGCTGATATAACACAGACGTGCGAATATCAAGAGGGATGAAAGGAATCATTCTCAAAGATATTAGCGGAAAACCATTGTAAATTGTAATGATTCGGCAGCTACAACCGTTACGGAGCAACATTTACGGAAGATTTTGCTACCCTTCCTGGTCGTCAAAAAGATAGCTCTTCGGCCTGATTCAAGAATCCGGAAGGGTCTTGGGAAAAGACTGACTTCATCTTTTTTTTCCCTGAGATGTCCTGAATTGAATTAAGTCACATTAATTCCGTTTTCAGATAATGAGAAGCTAGGAGTTGAGGGAAAAAGTTGATCCATCTCCGGTGGATAAGAGGATTTTTATCTACTGAACAAAAACAAAAGTATTATGTTAATTAAGTAGTAGCCCTGTTCTTACGAGTGACCCCGTGGTCTGGGGATATTGAGATCCAGCCATGAGCTCACTATTTTTGCATGTAATTTAGTTAATTTGCTTGGTTTGGCCGATAACCTTAAAAAGTAATGACCCGAGTAGTTCAATGGACCACACATTGAACTAGCTTTGGTGGAGACGGTCAAAAGCATGGGTGTTCTGGGCACTCTTGGAGGTATTTTTTTCAGCATCATGATCGGCAGACCCTTTTTTTAGTATCATGACCAGCGGATGCTCTAAATTAGGCCCTTAACTAAAAGCTGGAAGGGTGGTTTGGAACGCGCAAGTTTTCCAGATTCCCAAAAAGAGTATTTTATTCTAGTTAGGACCGAAAATTCACCTATTGTGAAGGGTGAGAGGATCGGCTGTCCCGTCGTCTACTGAGCAGTGTATTACCAAAAACACTCAACGATATCGAGAAACCAAACAAAAAGTAGTATAAAACCTAAGAACAAACCAAAAACATAAAGAAGAACAGAAAAAAATCATAAAAAATACCTAAAAATCATCACCCCAGACGAAATGTGATCCGACCTTCTTAGTTGTTAATGTTAGATGTATTGTTTTTACCAGCATTTATATCAAACAGGATCGTAACGATCAAAATTTTGGCCTGTTTTTGGTGCCTGTATTGTAGGATTGGTTGAGTTTTGAAGCACGTTAATGCTAATTTGCGCTCAATCTGGAAGGGTCAGGTCAAGGATTTAGAGCGGAAGATTGGCCCGGCAAGCAGTGCAAGGAGCAGCAGCAAGGGTCTCAAGGACAACAACAATCGACTGGTGAGTATCGTTAACAAGTTTTGTATCTCTATTTGTATAGAAAGTACGATATCAATCTGTGGGTGGCTCAACAGTGACTGCACTGTAGTGACCCTCCGCCGAGTTGCGAATTTCCGAGTCAAGCACCTTAAATTGGATATTGAACGGACCGGAGGGGTATAACAAAATTAGTAATTTTATTAATACTAATCGTATTTTATATTCCTACACCATTTTTCTGTCTGCCAGCTTGCACTGCTCTAACGAGTCACCGCCTCGCCTCTGAGTCTTCGTATTGAGTTTCATGCGAGAAAAAATAGGATCGTAACGATCGAATTTGTGGCTTGTTTCTGTTGATGGAACATATTATGATGCGCTTAAGCTGTGTTTTGAAATTGGAAAAAATGAACTGCTCCTGAAAAATTCACCCAAGGAAAGTGGGCTGAGCCAACTTTTGATAGCGAAGCTGCAGTCTTGAATTTAAGACTCGAACCAACAGACATAAAAATATTCAAGGCGTTCCAAGATAGCTTTGGATCCAAGAGTTGAACGTCATCCCGTGCAAAAAACTGCGGTCAAAAATTTAAAACGGGCACTTCAGAAAAGCAATAGGACTTCGATTACGCTCTAAAATTTGCGAACAGCATAAATACTTATGTTGAAAAGACGTTACCGAAGATTGTATCGCATGGTCAATTTTTTTTTTCGTAACACAATATATATCGTCAAGTTGTCTGTTCTTATTCAAGAAACAGAACCCTTAAGGAGTTTAATTTTAAGCAAATCAATACTAATCATCTTTTTTTTTATCATTATTCTTTCCACATCTAGAGAACTTCAAGGGTTTTGACTAGAATTTGTGATGAGGTGACTCCTGACTGTCATTACTCAAAACGTCATTCTAAAGAAGATATTGGTTTGAAATGTTTTCTTCAGATTTTCGAAAAAGCAGGAAGTTCAAGTAAAACACCATCCTACTTGATTATGGAAGCTTCCCATTCAACTTAACTTACGGTTCAAATTTTCCCGATTCTAACAAAATTTTTGAGTACCATCAATCCTCTTGAGCTCGACTCAAGTACAGTAATTTTTCACTCGACTGTTCATTTTTCCGATTATGTTGAGATAGGGTAAACTTTAAGTAATCCATCTAAAATGGATCAAACACACACTATCTTGTGACAATTGACCAGAATGGCCTGAAATGCATGGCAGAAACGAATTTTTATTTGAAGCATTTTGGTGACAGAATTGGCTGTTTCAAAACATTAACAGAATTAACTAATCAATTGAACGGAGTGAGATCAGATTTGACTGTAGAGTTCAATTTTGACTGACATGTGAGTTTTTGAATTGTGCCATTCGGTCATATTTGGAAGTTTGACCTTGAGAAAACGTTTAGTCTTAATTTTGGGTGAAATGCAATTTTTCAAAAATTCGAAGTGAGCAGGTCAGTGAACGGAGGAAGGTACTCAAAGATATTCTCTTTGTTCAACCGGGTATCGTTAAAATCCTTGTTACATAATAGGAAATAGGTGTAAAATTGGATAAGTGGATACCCACTGTTTTGAGGAAACGTTTTTACTTGAGCAGAGCTTGGAAATTGGTTCTACGGACTTTTTTTGAGAGATTTAGCACCCATTACGCTTAAGGGTAATTTTCCGCTTAAATGGGGGTTAAATAGGGGGGAGGTTAGAAGGGGCAACTCTAGGAGATCCAAATTTAAGGTCGAATTAGGGTAGGTAACTTGGTCGGATCTGGTGGCGGGATCGGAAATAGACAGTTTTTGGATTCCAAAAGGAGAACACCCCACAAGACCGCTAGTAGGGGGAGGAAAAGCGCGTGCAATTCAGGTACCAGACATTTTTTACGAAAAACAGCATAGGTTCCAATGAATTTTTGGTTTACTTACCTTCCTGTTTTTTGTAATTTTTAAAATTTTATTAGAATTTTCAAAGTTTTTACGTTTTTGGGCCAGATTTCAGAGAATTTTAGCAAATTGGCTAAAGTTAAAGACTATTAAACCAGTCGTATTTCGACATTCATCGAATTGAAACGAGGAAGGTAATTTTAGGAGACTCAGTAAAGAAAATTTTGGTGAACAGAATTGGGTTTTTGGGGATTTTTTTTATACTAGAGCTCTAGAGATGTTACTGGGATAGTGGATCAGATATCCCAATATTTGACATAAGGCACAGGGGAATTCTTCAATCAGGCGAAGAAACGCTTGAGCTACAAGGTAGGAAGAAGTACAAGAGTCTTGTCGGCAGTCATGGGATAGTGATCTAAGCCAACACTTGAGCGACGGGTTCTAGGAGGGTTCAGAAAAGTCCTGGGACAGGAACGAAATAAGCCACCACTTGGACGAAGGGTCCTAGGAGGGTTCAGAAAACTCATGGGACAGCAACAAATTGTACCAACACTTGAGCGAAGGGTCCTAGGAGGGTTCAGAAAAGTCCTGGGACAGCGACGAAGAATACTAACACCTGAGCGAAGGGTCCTAGTAGGGCTCAGAAAAGTCATGGGACAGCAACAAAGTGTACCAACACTTGAGCGAGGGGTCCTAGGAGGGTTCAGAAAAGTTCTGGGACAGCGACGAAGTATACTAACACCTGAGCGAAGGGTCCTAGGAGTGCTCAGAAAAGTCCTGGGACAGCAACGAAGTGTACCAACACCTGAGCGAAGGGTCCTAGGAGGGTTCAGAAAAGTCCTGGGTCAGTAACGAAGTTTCCCAAAAGAACACTAAGGGTCCTAGGAGGGTACATAAAAGTACTAGGACCAAACCAAAGTGTACCAAGACCCCATCGAAGTATCCCAAAACTTGAGCGAAGGGTCCTAGGAGGGTCAAGGAATCTTGGGACAGTATTAAAACATTCCGAAACTAGAACGAAGGGTCCTAAGGCCTGAAACTGATTTAGACTCAAAACTGATTTAGACTAATTCGACTGGTTTTAATTTTTAATACATTAGGGAACTTTCTTATAATTTCAATCAGATTTTACAGTAGGGACTTGTATATATTGAAATTGTAGATAGAAAAAATTGTATATATAAAAATCATGAAGCGAAATAGGATATCGATAACTGAAAGAAAAGGAACAGGATTTAAGCAAAACCAGACCGTAACGCAAAAGAAACCGACACCAATAAATCCGAGAGTATGAGGGAGAATATTTCAGTGAATATGGTCAGCACAAGAAGCAACAAGGAACAAAAGGCGAACGAATAATGGAAGAACAAAGCATACCAGCAAAAGAGACTGAACTAGAAACACCAGATCAAAGTATAGATAGAATTCAACGGAAGGAAGCTGAGTCAACACCGATGCCAAAAATAGAAGAACAGGAAAAGGACACTGTAGAGTTCTCACCAATAGGCCATGGAGACGAGGTGACCAACACACCAGAGACGATAAAAGACGACTCACAAACGAAGAGAACGTCGTTTACCGAGAGGATTGCTGCGATGGTCGGAATGAAGCCAGGAAAGAAGGAGGAGATAACGACTGGACCGGGAAAAGCAAAAGCTTTGGGACAGTTTCGACGACAACGACGGAAACCAGGAAGGATAAAGAGGAAGCCACGCTAGAAGCAACAGTTAGCAGTTAGCCAAGATGAACGAGTTGATGGAACGAAAACAGCTTCAGTAAAGCTGGGAGACTTAATGACAAAATTGAGTGAAATAGACAAAAAATTGAAGTGCAGTGAGGAGGACAGCCAAAAGCTGAAAAGGAAATAAAACACAACAAAAACGAGAACCTGGATAACTACTACGTCTTAGCAAGGGCCACGGAATAAAAGCTACAGCCAATGTCGGACAAGGTAGAGGCTACCGACAAAGAGCGAGAGAAACAGATCAAGAAGGATATGGAAGAAAAGAAGAAACGGTATGACACCGTGAATTAGAAGTTGTGGAATCTAGAGACCAGAATGGATACGATGAGCAAGGATCAAGCTGAAAGTTCTTGTGCCATACAGTCCGTCCAAACTGGATGCACTCTCGAGAAACACTATAGCACAAGATAAATTAGTGGCAGACAAACCACGGAAAACTCGAGTCGACTTTGTAGAACCGCAACGGATGAAGCCGGAATGGTCGGAATGAAGCCAAGAAAGAAGGAGGAGATAACGAGTACAGTAATTT